TCAGAGTCTCAGAACCTCAGAGCCTCAGAGTCTCAGACCTCAGAGTCTCAGAGCCTCAGACCCTCAGAGTCTCAGACCTGCAGAGTCTCAGAGCCTCAGACCCTCAGAGTCTCAGAACCTCAGACCCTCAGAGTCTCAGACCTGCAGAGTTTCAGAACCTCAGACCCTCAGACCTGCAGAGTCTCAGAGTCTCAGAGCCTCAGACCCTCAGAGTCTCAGACCTGCAGAGTCTCAGAGCCTCAGAGTCTCAGAACCTCAGAGTCTCAGACCTGCAGAGTCTCAGAGCCTCAGAGTCTCAGAACCTCAGACCCTCAGAGTCTCAGACCTGCAGAGTCTCAGAGCCTCAGAGTCTCAGAACCTCAGACCTCAGAGCCTCAGAGTCTCAGAACCTCAGACCCTCAGAGTCTCAGACCTGCAGAGTCTCAGAGCCTCAGAGTCTCAGAACCTCAGACCCTCAGAGCCTCAGAGTCTCAGACCCTCAGAGCCTCAGACCCTCAGAGTCTCAGACCTGCAGTCTCAGAACCTCAGAGTCTCAGACCCTCAGAGTCTCAGACCCTCAGAACCTCAGACCCTCAGAGTCTCAGACCTGCAGAGTCTCAGAGCCTCAGAGTCTCAGAGCCTCAGAGTCTCAGACCCTCAGAGTCTCAGAACCTCAGACCCTCAGAGTCTCAGACCCTCAGAGCCTCAGAGTCTCAGAGTCTCAGAGCCTCAGAGCCCGCTGTGGGGCAAGAAGGAGAAACTAAAAGCTAAATGCTTGACAATGGAAAACAGAGCAGAGACCAACATCATGCGCTCTATCCTTCTGACTCAGTGCACCGCGAACAGCTAATCACCCATAATGCTCTGCTGCATCACTGTCACATGACCAAGCTTGAAACCCCGCCCTCTAGAAACACAAGCAGCAACAAAATGGTAGGGTAGAAAACAACACACTAAACTCAGTTGAAACTTTCTGGCCGATATCGACGCATTCCTGATGCCAAAAGCATCACTGAGGCTACGAGGTCAGCAGCCAAATGAAAGCCACCAAAATGCGATTCCTTCGCTGCAGTCTGAACGGCCCGACTCTCATTTTTCACCCAAAATCAAAATCAAATCAGTTTTCAAAGCGTCTGAACGCTTGTGTCGCATTTGATCAACTTTTCCGTCACTAACGTCAGCCATGCGCCATAATTCTACAGGAGAAGAAGAGTCTGGACGTCAACAATGTCTGAAAATGATAACAATGACGTGTTGGAAGCAGCCTGGGTCAGTGAACGCATCACAACCCAACCCCATCAGTCCTGGTCCGACTCCAAACAGAACCGGGTCAACGCTCCACTAAAGACTGTTTAGTTGCTGTTAGCTTTCTGTTTATCAGCTTCCTTCATCCGATGACCATGTTGTCAGCAACTTTACAATCCACCCAGAGACGGCGGCGGCCATTTTACTGCAGGAAACGGCGGGCGCCTTGAGGACACCTACGTTCTTCTTCTTGGGTCACTTTGGGGTCGCAAACCGTTCACACCGCAGTCTGAGTCCAGCTGCATTTAATCAGTAGCAGGAGCGACAACGCAGAAAAAGCTTAGATTTCAGGAGAAAAACAGAATTGAGCATCCAGGCCTGCTGGGTGAGCAGTCTATGTTGCTTTATGTATCCGTTAGCAGCACAAAAGTGATTTAAACAAACCAAAAGTTGAATTTAGTTTTCCTCTTCTGTTGCAGAAAAGACAGAAGGACTGAGTGTAATCTGGCAGGTTCCAGTAAAATCGTGAGACGAACTCCTGAGACATCTGTGAACAAGGATCTGGGATCGTTTCCTTCTGCCTGCTTCAGGTAATTGTCTTGATTTTCCTTTCCGACAGTCTTAATGTCATCATTATTTTAGAACGGCTTCTTCTTCAGAGAGGCAGTTAGCTCTCGTTAGCTTCCCGTCACGTCCGCATCAGGCAGGTTTCTCCGCGGGTTCGCCCCGCGTTCGCTTCAAGCTCATCGCTATGCCCACAGAAACGATGAAAGATGGGAACGACGGAGCCGGCGCTCGTCCTAGAGGTCAAAGGTCGACATCACTCACAGAAAGTTTGAACTTGGAAACTTCTAGTTTTAGATTTATGTGAGAAGAGAGCAGAAATGTTTGAGCTTTCAGAATAATTCAGGCTGTTGAGGAGCTGAGGCTCAGCTGGACAATCAATCAATAACCATATAGATCACCACAAACTCCTGATCAATACCAATGAATAAAACATCTGACAGAATATTAAATATTCTGTTTATAGAATATTCACCGATTTACAGAACCAAACAGCATTCTGGGAGATGTAGGCAGAGGAAAAGGCATTAGCCCCTCATCCGCTCAAGGCTAAGCTAGCTCAACTAGCTCACTTGCTCTTTGGTTGCCTAGCAACAACCAGCTGGGTAATGTGCGCAGCAGCAGTTTAAAGTTTCTCCTCTGTGCCTCAAAAAAATAAAAACCAACATGGAGTGAAAACTGGACAAAACAGGAAACGTCACGCCACCAATGTGGCAACATTTCAGATATTTAAAACAATCAATAATTATCAATATCGAATGATATAAAACTCTTACTGTGATACACTTTCTGAGCCTTATTGTGCAGATCTACTTCAGTGTCTTTATGTTTACTCCTGTCACAATAAGCAACTAATCAATTGATCACATGATGAATTTAGATTGATCATTTACATTAATATTTTCTTTACATACTTCATAATCCATTTTTTTATGGGTATTCGGTTGGAAATGTTTTTGTCTTATTTATTTTGGATATCTAAAATATCTTCCAGTTCCACTGCTTAATGCTGTTTACTAAATTAAAGTTTATTAGTCCTTATTTCAAAATGATCTGAAAACAATAATATAGTTCATCGCAGTAATTACAGAGAGTTTATTGTGCACCAGTCTGTTGGTATGACAGGCCTGTTTATGTTTGGTTTATGTCTCCATGAAAGCAGAATAAAGTCCTGTGTTTAGGTTTTAATGGCGGCTCGTTTGGCAGGAAGCTGTCGTCCCCACTGACCAGGTCCTGTGTGTCTGAATCCACCCACTTGTTTACATAATCCTGCATGAATAAACATGAGATGATTTATGAATAAACATGTCTGGGATGTGAAAACACACACACACACACACACACACACACACACACACACACACACACACACACACACACACACACACACACACACACACACTCACTCTCTGCTGGGAAATCTCAGCTCTTGATGAATATTCATGCAGCACTCGTTCTCACACTCCTCCGTTGTGTTTTACTCTGACATTCATCTCCTCCTTCACATCCGTCTCTTCAGCTCATCTCATCACTTACACTCTAGTTGGTTTTCTTCCAAACTTTAAATGTTGTTTCCATCAGATCCAGACTGAAACTGTTAAAACTTGCTGCTCATCCGGCCACCCTCCCCTTCCAGTGACTGCAGCGCCTTCTTGTGGCTGTTTCCACTAGAACACGTGAAAGTGATGAAGTCTAATGATTTTTCTAGTGCAGGACATAAACAGTATCATAAACAGTTTATTATAAATAGTAAACCAACAATCTAGAAGCACTCATGTTCAAGATTAAATCCAATACACATCCAGAAATAAAACGTTTTTTAAAATTATAGAAATTTACATGTTTACACAAGAAACTCCTGCAAAATCTGATCCCATCTTTCGACGCCAGCAAATGTGAGGAGGGGGTTAAAAACGTTACAAAAATGAATATAAAAGCCCAAAAAAAGAAGAAAAAGAAATTTCAATCTTAAGGCGATTTAAGAAATTCACATATAAAAACGTAAGACTTCCTGTGTTTCCCAAAGCATGCTGGGGAAAAAAATACTACTGAGATTCATGAGATACTAAGATTCATCAAATTAATTTGTTTATATATTTATGTTATTTAACCTTTACTTCACGAAAATACTAAATATATTTTGCAAGAGTGTCCAGGTCAGAGGTTCCAGAACATTCACAGCTAAAACATGATTCGCGCATTTCTGCATAAATTAGGATTATTATTATTATTATTCCGGCATGATGAGTTTCTGTAATTCCTGTTTCTGAAATGTAATCACACACACTAATAGCTTTCTAAATACTTTTCAGAATTTTTACCAACTTTAACATCGCTAATGCTGATGCTAATGCTAGCGTAATCTTTTCCAACGGCAGCAATCAGGAAGTAATTTGTCCTTCAGAACCGACCCAGTCTGGTCCAGAAGGAGAGCTGGCAGTAAGTTACAGGCAGAAAAACATTCTGAGTGAACTCACTGGGTCTCTTCGGGTCACTCCGGAACACTCCCCCTTCAGCCGTTTCAAGATGACGGCGCCGCGTTTATTAACAAGAGAGCGGAAGCGGAGCTGAAGGTGGTTCCGGTACGGGAAACGGCTAAAGGGCGATTCCACCTAATTTTACACGACTTTCCGCATCTTTAATCGACTCCAGTTTAAAGCCTAAAACACCTGAACTCTTCAAACCTGGACTGGATTATTCTGCTCTAATAGCAGAATATTTAGAACCATGTTTGGGATTTATGAAACTTTTATTTGATTGATGAAACTTCCATAAATGTTGATTTGACCACTTTTTAAAATCTTGGTCATAGATCTGCTCTAACTCCAAATCTACATGATTTGTGAAACTTCACTAAAGTTGAATTACTATTCTCACTGGTTCCTTTCAAATTTAGTTTTAATTCAAAACCACTTTTTTAATCCCAATGGGAATTTAAATATTGTAAGTCTTCAAATAGTTATGGTGAGGAAGGAAGGAAGGAAAGAAGGAAGGAATGAAGGAAGGAAGGAAGGAAGGAAGGAAGGAAGGAAGGAAGGAAGGAAGGAAGGAAGGAAGGAAGGAAGGAAGGAAGGAAGGAAGGAAGGAACATGAATACACGTTGCTGTGGGACATTAAAGATGTTTTCTGTTGTTTGGTCCGACTGCTGCAGGAAATCTTTGACCCGAGATATCTGGTATCAAACAAGCAAAAAAAAAAAAGTGCCACAACACTGAGGAGTTCATCTTTAATGTCACCAACAGTCGTGTCATCATAAATAAATATTTCAATAAAAATAAAAACCAAAAACATTTAAAAAATATCCCATGTTGCATGAAACTGAAACTAAACATCAGCTAAAAATATGAAAGAATAAAGAATCATAAATGTGTTTTTCTGCTTGTTTGCAGCAGATTTCAGAAGGAGAAACATTCCCAAAGGTCCGACTCAACAGCGATCCCAGCAGCCTGGAGGATGGAGCGGCTGAGTTCTCCAGAACCGGGCCGACCGGAGTCTGGAGCAGAACTGCAGCAGAACTGCAGCGGTTCTTCCAGCAGAGCCGCGTTCGGTCCAGAGTTCTGCTCGGCATCATGGGAAAAATGAACATGGAAAACAAAAAGCTACAAAAAATGAACTGGGGGTCCAAACGTGTCACTTCCTGCTGAGAGGAGAGGTCAGCGTAAGGCAGCCAATCAGAGTCCAGCTCTCAGGTGCGCCTCCTCTTGGCGCCTCCCGGACTCGCCGGGTTGGAAGACGACAGCAGTTTCTCTGTGGCTCGGCTCCTCTTCCTCTTCTCCGCCTCCTTCGCTCCTCCTGCTGCTGATGCTCCTCCTTCTCCTCCGCCCTTCTCCTTGTCGCGCTCCTTCTCTTTTTCCCGACTGCTGCTCATTCGCTCCGACATCTTCACAGATGAGTTACTTCCTGTGGGAGAAATTGGGAAAGAAGGATGATCTGCAGAGACGTCCATATGTCCTGTAGCACTTCCTGTCCTACTTCCTGTCCCCCACTACTGATAAACCTGCTCTGACAGAACGATCTGGTTAAGGATCATCACTAAAATATTCCTGATTCAGAGAAAATAAATGCATCAGGAAAACGCTGCAACTACAGATGAACCAGAAATCCTCCAGGCCACTAGGGGGAGTCGAACAACAAGTCATGTGAGAGTACTCTCAGACAAGACGCCCAAAAGAACCTTGGAGGGAGAAAGAAAAGCCTTATACTTTGCGTAATTTTTAACCTTTTACATTACAGAATAGCAGCATGTTTATGTTGGTAACATTTCCTGCTCCAGGCTCCCCCTAGTGGTCTGGAGGACTTCTGTTCATACTGTACAGTATTTTACACTTGCTGTTTGCAGCATTTCTCCTTTTGCTTCCATCTACTGTGGTTGCAACGTTTCTTCTGTAGGTATTGCGTTTTGTCCTTGGCGTTCTGTCTGTCTTTAGTCATTTCGGCTGCAGTTGCAGCATTTCATCTGCAGTCATACGACTCGCCAGTCACTGCAGTCTACAGACGTCTGATACAGCACATGGGAACAAAAGCAGGAGAGCTTGACCTTCTTCATGTGTAGCAGGAGGTTCTCTCTCCATCCTGAACTCCTCCTTGATCTCCTCCTCTGAGCCAGCTTCCCTGCAAACACATAGAGATCATCGTTCATCACAACCGGAGTGTCACACTGCTGAGGAAGACTCCTCAGGAGACGAGAGGAAGGACCTCACCTCCTTTCACCTCCTGGATGATCTCCTCCGGCAGCGAGAAACTCTTCTCCGTGTTCGGAAACGGCAGGATCTCCGACTCGTGCTGCTCGTCACACAGAACCGGTTGGTTCAGAGGAAAACCCAGCGAGAGTGTGTATTACTCTGTGTGTGTGTGTGTTACTGTGTGTGTGTGTATTGGTGTGTGTGTGTGTTACTGTGTGTATTGGTGTGTGTGTGTTACTGTGTGTTACTGTGTGTGTGTATTGGTGTGTGTGTTACTGTGTGTGTGTATTGGTGTGTGTGTGTTACTGTGTGTGTGTGTGTGTGTGTTACTGTGTGTGTGTATTGGTGTGTGTGTTACTGTGTGTGTGTGTATTGGTGTGAGTGTGTTACTGTGTGTATTGGTGTGTGTGCGTACCAGAGCCTGCATGTCATACATGGTCCCCAGATGGTCCCAGATAACAGAGGAAGAAACCTGCCTCCCGATGTTCTGGCTGAATTTATCCCGGATGCAGATCATGTGGAAGTGTCGGTTCACTCCTGCAAACAGAACCGACCCATCAGAACCAACAGAATCAACAGAACCGAGCATCCATTGGATGGATGCCATATTATATATTTGTTTGGAATAAATTCTTGAAATATTTTCCTTCTCAAACTTATGTTTATATATTAATTCAGAAAATGCAAAAAGCAACTTCCAGATTTTTTCCTCCAGATTGCGGAAGCAACCAGCGACAAACTGGGATCAGACCGGCCCAGTTTCTGCTCAGACTGGTCCCAGTATGTCTCGGATGTGGGCTGAATTGGTCTGGGTTCGTCTCATGTCCGGGTCCAGCCGCTCTCGCACTGGTTCCAGTGGGAGCCGTTAGCAGCAGAGCTAGCGTTAGCAGCCTTACCCACTGGTTTGTGTCCGATCATCGCGTGGAAAAGACAGACCTCCACCTCGTGGCTCCAGACCACCGAGTCCTCCCCGGGAACCAGAGCCGCGTCCGGAGGCTTCTCCTCGGTCTGACTGAGGGTCACGTCGGCCTCCCCCATCTTTAAAAACCGGGTAAGATCCGAGTAAAACCGAAACGTTTCAACCTAGAATCAGACCGGAACCGGAAGTAGGCGCACAGTACGGGGCTGATAATCAAAATAAAAGCGAATTTGAGCAACTTTAAACTTTTTTTTAATCATGACGGATTTTCTATTCATTCGTTGCTGATGTGGTGAATAATTATTTATTGGATAATTATTAATTACTGGAACAAAGAAAATTATTGTTTGAAAATGCTCCATTTTCAGCTTCTATTAACTGCAACACTTTTAGCAGTAAAGGCTTTTTAAAGCATCAACCTGCTGACACTTTGCACAAAACCATTCAGATATCCAAACATGTCATTCTGACTAGTCATAAATATGCATCTACAGATCTTCAATTGTAATTAAAGATATTTTATTTGAATAGAGTTTTTTTTTAATGACCCTTTAGGAAAGTCAGAACATTGTTTCTCTGTTAAAACCTGTTTTTGTGTTACCTAGGTAACAACACCTGGACCAGGGGTGTCCAAAGTGCGGCACGGGGGCCATTTGAGTCCCTTGGGCTGATTTTGTGTAGCCCTCCAACTGCCACTAAAACCTAAGATAGAAATGTGACCCGTCCATCACAGGCAGTTCATTTTATATATCAGGGCAGAATTACTATCATAAAGTCCAACACAAAGTTTTCATCTTTTTATGAGAAGCAGAAACTTTTTCTGAAAACCGTCTTTGTTGCATCCAAATTAGCTTTTGAGTTTTTAAACTTGGCTAAATAAACATTTTTAAAAAAGTGATCCAAGAATTGAAATAGAATTTGAAAATTGCAATTTTTTTTTTTTTTAGTTTTGGATCAATTCATAATTTCCCTTTCCTACCTCGGTCAGCAGGTCAAAGGTCACACTGGAGCCTGTTTGGAAGAACCGTAGCATCTAAAGTGGAAGCGTTGAGATTTTAATGCAGTCAGACGGAGTTATACTTCTCCAGACGGTAACCAAACCACCAGAAGGTTTATTGCAAATCCAACAGACAGTTTGGGCCAAGAAGCGACGGCGCTCACAGATACAAAGAAGAAGAAAAAAAAAACATCTCAGAGTTGAACTCTGTGAAGGCTACTGAACTCCACGGAGCCGGATACAAGCGGGACTTCAGAACCGATCGGATTCACATCAAAATACAAAACAATAATAAAGCGTCGACCATCAGTCACAACAGAAATATTAACGCGAAGCTGAGAATCTGCAGCTCAGAGGGTCAAATGAAGCATTTCTAGACTTTTCCACATCACCTGATTTACATGTCAAAGCCTGGGCATGATGGGAAATGTAGTTCTGGGAAGTCCAGCAGTTTAAGAGCCTCTGGACTCATTTCTACACATCGTACAAAACTAAAGCTCTCCTTTATTGTTTACATTTATTCAACTCTTTTAAGATATGACAGAAAACTCCATCAGTAAATATTCTCATTTATCTCCTGTGAACCAATCAGAATGAGGCTGAAATCCCCAGATTGGCCAACCTGACTCCTCCTCCTGCCTGACAACCAATCAGATTTCAGAATGAAGGGGCGGGTTCGCTGCTTCCAGTGGCTGCAGATCAGATCCAGGAGCAACTTTGATCCCTTAACCTTCCAAATAAAATTCATTCTCATTCCTCATCTCAACAATCTGCTGATTTTCTGCATTTTTCTTCCTGTCTGAAAAAACAAAGTTCAAAAGGAAGAAAAAGAATAACTCAAAATGTTAAAACTGACCCTTAAAATCTAATAAACACGTCGGAGCTCAGACAGACAGAGTCACTGCCGTTTTATGCTGAACTGGTGATACAGAAATAAAAAGTTTGAATTGATGTCATGACTCAGCTCTGACAGGAAACTCCTGGATTTGTCCAGATGTTTGGGGGGAAAGCTGTAAACATTCAGAAACATTAAAACTGACGTTTTTACAGGAACAAAGTGAAACTGAAGCAGGTAAAGGTGAGCGGACAGAAGCAGGAAGCAGAGACGCGCTGAGGAAGCTTAGGCTTAACGGCTTCCTGGTCCGGACACACAAGCCCCGCCCACTCGCCTGGCCCCGCCCCTCAGCAGCTCTGTGCTCCTATGACTGCAGCTGTGGCGAGGAGGAGGAGTCAGGCACCGAGCAGAAACAAAGCTCCACCCCTCACGGTACCATAGAAGCTGTAACCATGGAGACCGGACATAAACACGTTGGCAATATAAGCCCCGCCCTTCCCAAAGGGGCGGGGCTTCAGTGAAATGTAACAGGGTGGGAGGGTGGCAGTGACAAATGCTATTGGTCCTTTTTCTTCTCAGGTTCTGATGACTCCTCTTTAGGCTCCGCCTCCTCAGACGACTCCTCGTACCTGCAGAGAGGGAGCCATGTTTGATTTTACTGTGTGACGTCATGTGACCGTTACTGCTCTCTGACGTTGAACCATCAGAGAGCAGTAAAGTCTGATTCACGCCATGCTGTAAGATTTAACCGACGCCGTTCATAAAGCTTCAGAAAAACTGTCTGCAACATTTCATTAAATATTCATAAGTCACCCCTCCCTTTTTGATTTAACGGAGGGCTAACTAATGGCAGAGCTAAGTTTTACCTTGATGCTTTAGCAGTTTAGCTAGCTTTGAAAGTGTTTAGCGCACTTAGCTTAGCGTTAATTGGTTGTTTTGTAAACTAAGTTGAATAAAGTTTGTCGTCTGTTGAAACTTTAGTTAATTGTTTATATTCATGCTTTTATTTTGAAGTTTGTTTACACAGCAGTGTGATGCAGTGCAGATTATTTACTCTGTACCCAGAATGCATTGCTGTAGTTCTACAGTAAACAGTTTAAACTTTCTGACTGAACGATAATTTGATTGAATTAGTGAAACTGAAACTGAGTGAAAGGTTTGTTCTGATGAAGCGGAAACCACGCAGGAAGATGTGCAGTGACTGATTTGATCCTGATGAGGGCGATATAGCACACGTATCAGAGTTGGTATTAACGCGTTTGAGCTTTGGCTAAACACCAAAAACTTTCTGTTGGCTCTGGTTTAGGATCCAAAACTCTCCATTTTTAAACAGAAACGTTTGGACTTCTGATCCAGTCTGAATAAAGCGGGTCCGTTTTGGTCCTGGAGGACTGACGGACAGGCGGGCGTTCTACCTGCCCAGGCGTCAGAGAGGTGAGGCAGTAAGGGCAGGGGGCGGGGCTTAACTCCTACATGGAGGTGGGAAGAACACGGCGGTGTCGGGGGGAGGTTTCCATGGATGCAGCCAGGCTTGCAGGAGAGCCGCTGACAGTCGGGAAGGAAGTGATGCGCGGAGAGGCAGGAAGGACTTCCTCTGATGACTCGTAGCTATGGCGACGGGGAGGATGAGATGAAGAGGTGAGGATGAGGAACAAAAGAGAAGAAGAATGTAAGATTTTATCTCAAACTGCAAATTAATCAGAGTGAGGATGATGAGGTGAGGAAGAGCAAACGGGAACGAGAAGGAAAGATGGCGGCTGGATCTTCTGCTCGCCGGTTCCGACCCAAAACATCAGCCTCATTGTCCAATCAGAACCCAGAAAACATCCAGACGGTCCAATAGGAGGCGCTCCATCAGACCAGACATGACAGAACTGTCGGTCCGCCTCAGACCCAGATGTGACGGTTTGAGCAACAGAACCAGAACCGCTGAGTTTCATCTGCAGGGTTTAGGATCAGAAGAACCAGAGACCAGGCTGGACCGGATGGACGGACTGGATGGACGGACCGGGTGGATGGACCGAATGGATGGACCGGATGGACGGACCGGGTGGACGGACTGGGTGGATGGACCGGATGGATGGACCGGATGGACGGACTGGATGGACGGACCGGGTGGACGGACTGGATGGATGGACCGGGTGGATGGACCGGATGGACGGACCGGGTGGATGGACGGACCGGATGGACGGACCGGGTGGACGGACTGGATGGATGGACCGGATGGATGGACCGGGTGGACGGACTGGATGGATGGACCGGGTGGACGGACCGGGTGGATGGACCGGATGGACGGACCGAATGGACGGACCGGGTGGATGGACCGAATGGATGGACCGGATGGACGGACCGGGTGGACGGACTGGGTGGATGGACCGGATGGATGGACCGATGGACGGACTGGATGGACGGACCGGGTGGACGGACTGGATGGATGGACCGGGTGGATGGACCGGATGGACGGACCGGGTGGATGGACGGACCGGATGGACGGACCGGGTGGACGGACTGGATGGATGGACCGAATGGACGGACCGGGTCGATTGACGGACCGGGTGGACGGATGGTCCATAGAGACGGTCATGAAGCTCTCGAAGTCTTTCTGGATTTCATTTTTCTATTTCAGTTCATTTTTATTGTTGATTATTACGAATATTTACTTTTTAAAATGACCTTTGACCTTCCATATGGACAGATTGATCCAGGTTTATTTTTCTCATCAGAAGATCAACCGTTAGTACCTGGCGGTCGCCATGGTTACTCACCTGAACATCTCGGTGAGCTCTCCCTTGCAGAGCGCCACGACCACGGGGAAACCGACGCAGGCGGGGACGAGGTAGACAGGGCGGGCTGCAGCGAGAGAGAGCGTCAGAAACCCGGTTCCACCGAACCCGGTTCCACCGAACCCGGTCCCATTCCATGGTTGTGATAAAACTTCCCGGACGTCTGGCCCCGCCTCCTACCTGTGCGTGTTTGAAGGTGTGCATGACGAAGATGGTGAGGCCCAGACCGAAGATGTAGGCCAGGAAGCTGGAGTAGAAGTACGTCCTGCTGTTCTTCTTCAGGCTGCAGACAGACAGACGAAGACATGAGGACATGAGGACGGGTCCGGACCGGTGGGCGGGTCGGGGAGAGCGGGCGCCTCCGCCGCCGGACGCTACCTGACGTCGAAGCGCAGCAGCAGGGCAATGAAGATGCCCGGGATGACGATGTCTCCCAGTCCCAGCATGGCGAAGTTACTGGCCTCCAGTCCTTTCTCCAGTAAGTCCTGAGGAAACACCACTGGGAGACGGAGACTCGGGTCAGAACCGGATCAGAACCAGATCAACAGGAAGCAGGAAACAGGAAGTGCCCTGAAAAGTCGACTCACATTTAATTGGTGCCTCGAACGACTTGGCCACCGTTACCATGACGTTGGTCCCGACACCTGCAGGTCAGATCAGACAGGTGAGGAAACGTTCCGTCCAACTGTCAGGAGGTCAGAGGTCACTCTAGGGTAAATAAAAGCTGCAGCAGATTGAAATGTCTGAGGAATGTGAAGGAAGTAATTGGGATTATTAATAAAGTTTATTAATCTATTTCTATTGTGTGTTTTGTAATTTTCCTTGATCATATTTTTATTCATTATTTTACACTAAGATTTAATATTTTAAATTTATTACATAAGTTAATATAATTGTAATTGCAGCACTATTTATTAGGGCAAGTATTAATTACATTTACTAAATATTGTGTTTATTGTATTAACAATTTATTTTTATTCTGAATTTTACATTTTTAAAACTATTTTGTAATAATTTTTGTAATTAATATAATTTTATTTGCAATTATCATGTAAATAAAGTACAATAAACATATTTCCTCTGTATTTTTTGACATCCTATTTAAAAAAATTATTGAATTTCTCTAAATGTCTTCCTGGTTTGAAGTGTCTTTCCCTCCTGTGGTGCGTTCACTGACCTTCAGTAAATCAGAGACCAATAGAGTGAAGCTGCTTCTTTGAACAGCATAACATTAATCTTCAGTCTGTCTTATTGAATTATTAACAGTTAAAAAGTTGAATCTTGTCAATGCAAAAATTATTTCTTCAACTCAAAATAAATAAACTTGGGTACTTTTATTTTGAAAAGCACACACCACTGTAAAACCTAACTTCCTTTTCCGTTGAAGCAGGATTCTCACCCAGAAGACGTCGTAGATGAAAAGCCCCCCCAGCAGGATGCAGCCGGTACTGACGTTGTTCAGGTGCAGCAGCTCCACCCCGTTCAGGGCGAACGCCAGGCCAAACACGTTATTGGCTATCCAGTGCTGTGATGTCACAGAAACAAGCGCAGTGATTGGCTGTGAGCGGCGGCCAGCAGGCCAACAGAGGGAGGTGGGTTTACCTTTTTGAGCAGGTACCAAAGCCCGACCACGCTGCTGATCAGCAGGCACACCAGGTTCTTGGTGTCAAACTCGTAATTCACTATTTCTGGAGGCAGAAAGAGAATCTGTCGCATTCAGCTGGAAGAACGTTGATTTAAAACTAAAACAGAAAATCCAGCAGCTGCCTGAAACTGAACCGGCGGATCAGAAACACGTTGAACAGAAACTTGTTTCACTGTCAAACTGTAAATATCTAATTGATCAACTTCGTGCAGATGAAACTTTATCAAACGGTCTGCAGGTGTTCAGGCCACAGGAACCAGGCGAGTGACTGGCGGTTCTGGACCGCCATCGACTCGCCTCCGTCCGGTGATCGACCCGATGGACTCACCTTCTTTGGACTCTCCAGAACCCTGCGTGAACAGCAGCTGGTACTGCTTGTTGGGGAGCGACTCTGGGAAGATTCTGGACATGGCAGGACTGGAAGACAGAGACGGGATTAGACTGGGAGGCAGCAGCGCTGGTGGACCCGGTTCCGGTTCTGATGGTACCTCATGGTGTGGGACAGAGCCAGGACGCCAAGGACGAAGAAGTAGACGGACAGCAGCAGGTTGATGTATTCCTGGGAGAACACCTGCAGGACGGAGCGCGCTCAGTGAGAACCGGCCGACCCGGCAGCCGAGCAGAACCGAGAGGTCCGAACTCACCTTGAAGAAGAGGTAGAGTCCGAACAGCGTGCAGCTGGCGATGATGGGGAACCGAGCCGCGTCCCGGCTGGTGATGGTCTCCGGGGCGTCGGCAGAGTTCTGGGAGGAAGGGGACAGGATGATGGTCTGAGCAGAACCGGATCAGAACCAGATCAGAACCCAGCAGCTGCTGGACTGGAGTCCTTCAGCCGGATCTGGACCTTCAGTACGGATCTGGACCTTCAGCACCGTAAGAACACGGACATGAATCCAGAACCTGCAGACGGATGTGGAGTTCTGGCTCCTGGGTGACCTTTGACCTCAGAGAGGATTGGAGTTCGGAATCGTCTATATTCTGCTCCAACCCGCACTGGAGACGCAAACTGGGTCAGACGAGCGGGAGGAGGGATTCATCAGAACCATCTGCTCTCAGCCGGGTCTCAGAACCCGCTGTGGATCCGAAGGCAAAGAACGGTTGGTTCTGAAAAACCCGGTTAGATGGTCAGGCCCGGCGCCGGTCGGGGAGTTCAGGACAAACAGAATCAGGCAGGCTTAAGTCCAGAACCCACAGCAGAACACATCAGTCAGAGTTAGAACACAACAGAACCACCACAGTGGGCCGTTAGCTTCAAACAGAACCGGTTCTGGATCCATGGCGGTACTGATCCACATGCAGACCAGAGAGGACGATGATGGAACATCTAGAACCTGGCCAACCACTGGACCGGAACCACCTGATACGAGACGCAGGAAGAATCCAACATGGCTGCCAGGCGTCTCAGGAAGTCGCTTCGCATAAAGCGACTCTTCTGCTGCTTCCTCATTTAATATTTGCTTTTATTTTGAAGGACACTTCCTGTTTATGCCGTTGGCAGCCATGTTGGAAGCTCCTGCTGAATGGAGCGGTTCCGGTTCTGTCAGACTTGCTCCAGAACCAGCGGCTCATCTCATCCCTGATCCAGCATGAAGACGGAACGGGTTCCAGAACCTTCAGAACCTGGTCCAATCCACCAGAACCAGAGCGGCCTCATCAGAACCCAGTCCAGTTCCACAGAGACGACCAATGATGTGGTTCTGGTGTTTAAACTGCAGCTTCTACAAGCTTCCCTGGTCCAACCTGGACCCAGCGGACCAGAACCACCGGAACCACCAGAACCTGACCACATCCTGGAGAGATAAATCAGCCGTTTGGTTCTGACAGGTCAGAACAGGGACACCAGTCTGTCCTACTGGGTCTTGGTTCTGACCCAGATATGGGCGGTGTCCCAGCTCTGGTTCTGATCCATAATTGGAACCACGACCAGAACTAGAACTGGGTCTGAACCAGAACTGGGTTGTGGTTCTGACCCAGTCCAGGTTCATGTTGTGTTTGTGCCGCAACAACAAAGTGGTTCGGTTCTGATACTCACTCTGAACCCAGAGTCGTACCCACCGTCTCCGAGCTCCTACAGATGGACGCAGAGACAAGATGGCGGACAGACAGACAGAGAGAGAGGTCAGAGGTCAAGTTGCAGACTGACAGAAGCCTGGAAGATCAGCTGGAGAAACAGGTGATGAACATTAAGGAGCAGGAAGGAAGTCACGTGACACCAGCAGCACAGGCGGTCCAATCAGCTGCCTGGAAGCTGGGAACCAATCAGATTCGAGGAAACACAGAGGGAGGAGCTTCAGTTGGTTTATAAACAATAGATGAGCATCCAACCATCCATCCATCCAACCAACCATCCAACTGTCCACACTTTCAACCATCCTACCTACGCATTCAACCATTTACTCATCCATCCAGCCATCCATCTTGGACTTCTCCACTTCTCCATCATAGAGGTCAGAGGTCAGGAGGAAACCCGTCCATCCATCTCCAGGTTCCTGAAGCACCTTTAGATGTTTCCAGATGGAACTGGATCTTCAGTTCCTCCAGGAAGTTCTGGTTCTTCTTAAGGCCTCCTCCAACCACTTCACAACTTTCACCATATTTAATAACTCATGTTATAAACTCGCTACAGTTTCAGAACCAACTCTAGTTCTGATCCAGGTGAGGCCCACCAGGTGAGAAACTGTCCAGCTGGAGGCCATTAAGCAACCCCCCACAGCATGATGCTGCCACCACCACCCAGTCCTGATGAACAGGGTTGACAGCAAAGGGTCAGCATGGGTCAAGATCTGGACCAAGGTTCTGCTGAGTCAACCCTCAGAGGAACACCTGGACTGGACACCTGGACTGAACACCTGGACTGAACACCTGGACTGGACACCTGGACTGGACACCTGCTGTAACGGAATCCGGTCGATCATTTTCATGATGATTTCTGAGCCGCTAAAGAAGCTAATAATCAGCCAGAGCGCAGTTAGCAGGGGATGCTAACCGGCGGAAGCTAGCGGTTCTACCCCACGGTGGCCCGGTTCGGACCGGTTCGAACCGCTGCTTACCTTGGACTTGGAGCAGGTGACGGACCGCAGGGCTCCGAAGAAGATGGGCAGCAGGGCCATGACCACCAGGCTGCCGTAGGCCAGCGCCGTTCCCTCCGGGGTGGCCACGAATTTAGCCGTGGCGTTCAGCACCTCGGTCTCGTTGGAGTCCGTGGCGTTCGGGACGGCCGCGGGGACGGGTTCTGCCTCTGCCATGGCGGTTCCGGGTGGAGGTTCCGGGTGGAGGTTCTACAGGGGGGCTGCTGAGGCTGCGGCGGGAACTGACGGGCAGAGACAAGCGGGAACTGGCGGTGCGGGAGGCTCATTCATCTGCCGGAGCGGCTGGAGCTCGGTAAGGCCACGTTTCCTAAAGCAGAGAGGGGCGGAGGGCAGCAGAGGTCTCACTCTGATGCGTTTCCTGCGTCTCTAAGGCCACGTTTCCTAAAGCAGACCCCAGAGAGGAGCGGAACTGAGGAGAGGGCTCACTCTGATGTGTTTTCTGAGCCGTTCACTGCGGGGCTCTTCTTGATTTTCTTTGTTACCGTTTAACGTCAACCTTCTGGGGTGGAGTGTAACTCAAATGATCTATTATTTAATCCACATATATGATCAGTTTTAAAATGTTATTGATTATCTAAACAAACTAAAAATGTTAAAACTTTTACTTTCTGACTCTCCCGGTATTACATTAAATAATTAATATATCCCTCTAACATAGATGGTCTTGGAAACAGAGAGCTCACTCTGATGCTTTTTCTGAGGCAGCAGAAGAAGTGGATGGTTTATTCTACCCCTAATTTTAATAACCAACATTTTCTAATACACAAAGAGATGAAGCGACAAGAGGTCTCACTATGCTTTGTTTCCAGAGTTTGGCTAAATGTCATGTTCCTCATAAGATCCTAAAGGATTCTCAGTACGGTTCTGAAGGTCCATTTGTCCATGTTAATTTAATTTCAGAATGAATAACAAAGTAAGAAGAGCAGTAGATGGAAGATTTATTGATGATTGTTCATATTTTATCTGTCCATTTACCAAGTTTTGTGTTTTCCCAACAGTTTCCGTTCTGTTTGACCCAGATTGTTGACCTATAGTCAGTTGCTTGAAGTTTAGTTAATGTACGTTAAAACTAAATTTTATGCATCTTTTATTTCACCTGACTCAAGGTGTAAAGAGGGAAGGTGGAACAGCTGTGGTTCTCACTGTGACGTGTTATAAAAATACAACATTAACAGCAGATTTAAGGTTCAGTTTCACAGAGTTTTAAAAATCTAAACATTTTATTTATGTTCGAAGAGTTTCTGACATTTCATTTACAACAGTTTCTGTGTACAATCAGAAAATCACCTATGCTGGAAAAAAAAAAAAAAAAAAAAAAAAAATATATATATATATATATATATATATATATATATATATATATATATATATATATAAGATGTTAAAAAACAAAACAAACCCCTAAATCTGGTTTATTAAAAACACTTATTCTGAAGTTAAAGGTAAAAACTTTAATTCCTCCAGTCTGGAGACATTTCCTGTCTTTCAGTGTCAGCAGGTCAACTCAGAGGTAAACAAGGATTAGATCTGAGTTTACAGATTATAGCTAATCTCCTATCATTTAAACTTCAGTTTGCTTTTCTTTGTTAAAAATCTGAATCTCCAGCAGAAGACACAAACCCGACGTTAGGAAGAACGTCGCTTCTGGCTCTTAAAGACTTTACATTTTGAGTAAAATCTCCTAAATGTACTTGTTCAAAACTGCTTCATAAAATCTAACAGGATGGCCACCTAGACTGGATCAGACGATCACAGAGCAGGAAGGAAGAACCGGATGATGGCGCTGAACAGGACCAGCAGGGGCGCGGCCTGCAGGAGGGGGGCGGAGCCTTTTAATCTCACCTCGATTGGATAGTGTTCGCTCAGTAGCAGCACCTGGCAGACAGAAGCAACAGAAACCAGAAACTGTGAGACGGATACAAGGCAAACAGATGAATGATGAAAAATGCACAAAACAAACAAACAACTGCAACAGAAAAACTCTGCAGCTACAGAAAATGGAAGCAAAAGGGAAAAAGCTGTGAATAAACTCGCACCACAGACCATTTGTCCTCCTGGCCACCAGGGGGCGCCGGCCATCAAATCACATGGGAAAGATGGAGGAAGAAAGAAAAGGTCTTTGGCCCGGTCCCAGTGCTCTACCTCCTTCCTGCTATCTTTTTTGTGGGAGTGGAATAGAAAGCTGCTCGGTTTATTATCATGATTTCTAAACAAATGGTTTCTTATAGGACTAGAGGAAGAAACTGATGAATTTATTGTTAAAATTTTGGCTCATAAAGTCACAACTTTTGTCTAAAAAGGAGATTTTAGTTCCATTAGACTTTTATTATTCACGTGTAGCACCAGATATTTATTTTACGTTTTCTATAAGCCGTATGTTTGTCCTGAACTTGATCTTTGTTATTATCTCCACTTTATACCAAACTAAGTTTTATCTGCATAAAATAAATGGTGATAATATTGAATTCAACAAGTCATAACAAAACAAATATCTCCAGCAGAAATACTGCAGATATTTGAACACATTGAACATTTAAAATTATCTGTTTGGTTGTAGTTGGTCTTTTTATCTACTGACCATCCTAAAAGTCTTTTAGGATGAATAAACAGTGACCAGTCTTCCATTTTGGATGTGAAGTTACGACCCAGGGCCGTTCTGTGCCTGAACTCTGAACCCTGAACTCTGATGTGACTTTGACTGGGCCGTTCTCACCACTGCAGTCTTTACTGACAGCAGCATATTTATGTAGGTAACGTTACAAACTCCAGACTCCCCCTGGTGGCCTGGAGGACTGCTGTTTTGGGCCGTCAACTTGCAGTGTTTTTATATAATGTTTTTATAATTTGCAGCATTTTTTATGTTTTTAAGAGTTTACATCATTTATGTGTTTGTAGTGTGTTTTGCTTCCATATAAAAACTTTATAATCCAACCACAAAGATGGAGGATTTTTATTGGGATTTTATCTGGTGGAAACAAAGTGGTGCATAAATGTGAAGTGGAAGGAAAATGAAGGATTTGTTCAAAATGTTGATGTCTCTCTGGTGCCTCTCATTAAAATCCAGGGTGGAGAAGAGGCTTCATCAGTAAGTCCAGCTGAGGGTGATCTGACCTAAAGCATCAAAACAGATCAATCCTCAAGAAGTACAAACATGTTCCGGTTCCTTCTGCTGGAGCCGCGTCCTACCTTGGCCTGCCGGAGTCTGAATTCTTTGCCGAAGTTGAAAACATTTGCAGAGTCCGGCCTGATGCCCTGCAGGAAGGACTGACCATGAACCACGATCCTGAGACACAGAGAGGAGGAGGCATGGACTCCTCAGTGAGTCTGGAGAACACCTGCAGCCGTTTGGTTTCTCTCTCGAACACAAACCTGTCGTAGGGGCAGTTGGTCAGGTCGGTGACGGTGGTGTCCTCTCGGTCTCCGATCAGCCAGGAGAAGTTGGAGTTGGTGAAGAGTCGGATGTTCTTCTTGTCGTCCCGGGTGACGTAGGCGCAGCCGGCATGGAAATCTCCCAGGAACATCACGTTCTGAAACACAGGGAGTCAAACCACGTCAAGAAACTCCGGTCCAACTGTCCAGGCAGGAAACAACGCCCACAATGCACTGGGAAACCAGAACCAACCGACCAGAAACAGGAATAACCAGAACCAACTGACCATCCATCCATCCTAAACACTTCCTCATCTGAACATCCCAACATTTTCCCAGGATCATCATTTCTAGAAGTTTCCAGCTTCGTTTATCTGACCTTTGACCTCAGAACCGTGAAGTTGCTGCTGCCTCACCGTGTTGTTCCACTTTGCGCTGACTTCCTCAAAGACGTCGTAGAGCCAGTCAATCTCCTGGACGGCGTGATCCGGGTCGGTGTGGAGCGGAACCAAAACGAACTTCTTGATGTCTGGAAGAAAAGACGTTCAAACGAATCAGAGAAGGAAAATAAGAACCATTTTAGTTCTTTTAACAATCTACTGACCAGTTTTATTGCAGCTGAAATGGACGGCAAACGGCGGCCGGACGAAGGCTTTACCTTCGTACTGGTGCTGATCCAACCGTTTCACCAGGTGTGTCCTAATCAGAGGGTCAAGGGTCAAATCATAGATTCACGAGTCAGAGAGGGAACTAGGACTCGCACTTATTTATCAGGAAGAATGAACTGAGGAAGGAAACCAGGAAGGACGAACAAGAGAAACAGGAAGGAAGGAAGGACACAAAAAAAGGAGGAAGCACAGGAGGAAACCGTGAAGGAAGCACAGGAGGAAACCGTGAAGGAAGCACAGGAGGAAACCGTGAAGGAAGCACAGGAGGAAACCGTGAAGGAAGCACAGGAGGAAACCGTGAAGGAAGCACAGGAGGAAACCGTGAAGGAAGCACAGGAGGAAACCGTGAAGGAAGCACAGGAGGAAACCGTGAAGAAAGCACAGGAGGAAACTGTGAAGGAAGCACAGGAGGAAACCTGAAGGACACGATAAACTGAAGGGAATAAATAATTGAATATTTTAATTGAAATGTTAGTAAAAGTTAGTCGACTTTGTGTTTATAATGAAATCCTGCGTCTCACCTGTAGATGAAGACGTACTGCTCAAGGTCATCAGAGGCCTTTCCCAGACTTTGACTAGACAGGTATTCATAATGATGTTCATCATACCTCAACAAACGACACAAACACAGCATCTGTCCACTGAACGCAGCACTTCACAGCAACAGCCTCACATTTCTGCACAGAAACTCACACAAAGCGCCCGATCCAGAAAATCTGGACATATTTTACATATTTTGGCATTTAACCATTAATTTCTGACATTTTTAAATTAATATTATAAGTAGCTGTTACTAAACTGACCAGGACACACAAGTGATAATTTACCTAAATTATTGATTTATAATTACCTGAAATCATCAAATGACAACACACCTGTCTGAAGTAATGGGCTAAATTAAATATTTTTATAATACGCAGAATAAAGCTAACAGATATCATTGATAATTAATTTAGATAAGTTAATATACTGTATTTTATAATAGTTTATAACCCATAAAGCTATTATTTATTAGCATACCTGTCCACAGTTTACTGATGCTAACTAGTGTGCTAACAGTGGGTAAGCTAACGTAGCTTTGGGAATCACTTGAACATGTTTTGTGTTTGGTTTGGAAGTTGGAACCTGGAACTTGGATTAAAACCACGCCCAGTTTAACAGAGCTGATGGTTTCAGCCGAGTGTCAGAAAACCAGTGGCGCTTGCTAGCTGCTGTTACTGGCTAAATGCTACTAAGCTAGCATACCACTACTATATTCTCCAGTAAACTCAACATAGCTGTCAACATTTAACAGATGTTGACTTTAACGTGTGTATCAGGAATTTAATGGTTTATTGTTTTGAATTTCACTTTTTAAGCTGATGTGGCGGCCATATTAGATTTTTTGAAGTTATTATTCCAATGTGAATTTACGAGATCAAATAAAACACACCAGATATCAGTTAGCTGCAATGAAATGTTTGGAGGTCTATTTTTAATAGTCATAATGATATGAAACATAACGGTCATGTTAGTAGTAGATGTGGGTCTGCCAGCATAAATAAACCCACACAAAAATATTCAGAAGCAATAATCAGTAATGATGCTTTTATTGATTGGTTTTTAGGAAATGAAGCATGCTAACATCTTTAGCGTGAAGCCCCTGCAGGTTAGTAAAAAGAGTAAATCCCAAGTTTTTTATTTGAACATATTTTTCTTCTAAACAACCAAAGAAAATAATTAGCCCATAATAATATTTAAAGTGTAACACCAGACAGAAGATGGTCATCCATGTTAGAAAGCAGTTCTGGGTAAACTGGAAACCAGTTCTCCTCCAGTTTATGATGCACTTTTACATTAAACACAGTAAAGATTTCAGCACATATCAGAGGATTGTTTTAATTGATCTGGTTTTGCTTTTCTGTCCCGTCACAAATGAATAAAAATCATTTTAAATCCACTTCTGGCAAAGGTACAAATAATTTAGTTTTTTCTCATCATGTGGTAGGAATATTTCAGTAATATTTCAGTAATAATTCAGTAATAATTCAGTAAATGTCAGTAATAATTCAGTAAATGTCAGTAATAATTCAGTAAATGTCAGTAATAATTCAGTAATAGTTCAGTTTGATGCAGAAGCCACCCAGGATGAACATGAAGGTTTCAGGAACAGAATAAATCAATTGCTGCTCCTGAAGAGACCAGGATTAGTGAAGGAGGTTAAATGAAGTGATTATTTCCCAAATGCACTTAAAATTCACCGTACCTTTTATTTGACCTGTTGGAGGCAGACAGCAGACACAGATCATTATTATCTGCTTTATTACAGTCATTATCAATTAGAAAGCACAGTTTGAAAATGATAACCTTCAAGTTTCTGTTTCTAAATACTTGTGAACTGAAATAACTGTTTATACAATCAACTTAAACATTCTGAAACTCTGTGTGTTTATGGGTTTATTTATTGATGTGAAATAGATTTATTTTGATTTAGCTGTCGGTAAATTACGGCAACAGTCAGTTCAATACCTTCTGCAGATGATTCATAACCACAAAATAACTGAATTAGACACAAAGTAAAACTATAAAAACTATTATAACCCAGCTTCTGTGAACGCACCAGAGGCGTAAAGTTTGTTTAAAAGAAAAAAATATTTGAAACTGCAAAACAAAAAAAAAACTTTGAAAATGAAAAGTAGTTTATTTTTGAGTTTCAAATCTTTTCAGTTTAGATGGAGGAAGTGTGTAAACGTGGATGATGAGGAAGAGATGAAGGCTGGAGGTGACTTTTGTCTAACGAAGCACCAAATTCATTTAAAAATTGAACTCAAATACGCTCCGAGTCATTTTTCTTCTCTGAAGCTGAACTTCCTGCATCAGGAGCTGTCTGCCGCCAACAGAGACCCTGACTGCTACTGCTGGATTTTAGCACCACAATCAGCTGCTGGTCTTCCAGAGTGGAAGTGGCCTAATTAAAGTACGCTGCTCCCAGTGGGCTTCTGGTTCTGGGTCGGACCGGTTTGTGGTTCTGGAGGCGTACCTATTGAGCGACGCCACCAGAACTTTGACTGCTTCCAGTTTCGGATCCACAACATCCTGCAGGACGCAGATATCACAGCGAGACACGATCTGCACGGCGGCGGGTCGAACCGGAGGAGCAACGTGAAGCAAACAGGAGAAGAAGAAACTTAAAGAAATACAAATAAACCATAAAAACAGGAGGAGAAGCATTTCTAAAGAAAACATGAAAACTTTTAATTGAATTTTTATGTTTTCACTCGTGTGTTTTGTGTGTGTGTATCAGTCTGTGTGTGTGTGTATCAGTGTGTGTGTGTGTGTATCAGTGTGTGTGTGTGTGTGTGTGTGTGTGTGTGTGTGTGTGTCCTGCCTTGGTCAGTGTGTGTGTGTATCAGTGTGTGTGTGTGTGTGTGTGTGTCCTGCCTTGGTCAGTGTGTGTGTGTGTGTCAGTGTGTGTGTGTGTGTGTGTCAGTGTGTGTGTGTGTGTGTGTGTGTGTGTCCTGCCTTGGTCAGTGTGTGTGTGTCAGTGTGTGTGTGTGTGTGTGTGTCCTGCCTTGGTCTGTGTGTGTGTGTGTCAGTGTGTGTGTGTGTGTGTGTGTGTGTGTCAGTGTGTGTGTGTGTGTCTGTGTGTCAGTGTGTGTGTGTCAGTGTGTGTCTGTGTGTGTGTGTCCTGCCTTGGTCTGTGTGTGTGTGTGTGTGTGTGTGTGTCCTGCCTTGGTCAGTGTGTGTGTGTGTGTGTGTGTGTGTGTGTGTGTGTGTGTCCTGCCTTGGTCAGTGTGTGCATCACTCTGTAATTTGCTGCCTTGTTCTTGTTGAACTTCTGGATGTTGTAGGAACAGATTCTCAGTCCTGCTGCTCCTCCGATCATCAGGCTGCAGAACCAAAGCAGGACGAGACCAACGCTGGAGGAGCGCCCCCTCATGGCTGGATCTGAGAAAGCAGCAACGACAGAGCTGATTGTGTTTCCTCCAGTTCTGATCTGATTTCCTCTTGGGAAAAATCTTCCTTTTACAGCTGACCTTTGACCTTTTCCCAGTTGCTCCTCTGGGTTCATTGCTGATGCCGTTGTGCTAACCTGCTGTTAGGCATAAACAGCAGGGGGTACTTACTTTTTCCATCTGTTGTGTTTTTAGAGGCACAACAGCCTAAAGACGTTTTAGTTTAATGTCAGAAAAACCTGAAACCAGGTGTGAGAATAAAAGTTCAAGTATCTCAACCTCAACATGTTTTCAATGAACTAAGAGTAAAAAGTAAAAAGTCGAGTAAAGTACTGAATGATCATCAATCAAAATATGATCAATGACATCATCAGGCGGACCAACATGTAAAGTGAAATGGACTTAATAATTCATCAGGTCTGAGTCTGGAGGGTTTTGGTTCAAACATTTTGATTTTCACTCAGTGGAGAGAAAATCAAAATTCAAAGACACTTTATAATCAAATTACTCAAAAATAAAAATACTCCTAAACACATTTCATCAAGAAGTTACCCAAATGAGACAGAATAAAGTTTCTGGGTTTGTTTTCAGCCTGCAGGTTCGACGTGATGCAACGTCAAAACGTGTTTTCTCAGAATCAGGGACAAAATGTTCCCACGACGACAAGCGGCGAGGCGTCGCTCTGAGAACTGTGTCTCAGTTCGGATCTTTTCTTTTGATCCAGAGAAACAAGCATCACTTCAGGACAAACTAGCAGCTGGCAGGACGATTCGGCGCCGAGCTGAGAAACTTTAACTCTGCTCTGCTTTCCTTCACTTATTAACTCAGAAAGCTGCAGCGACTGCAGGCAGAAATGAAAACCTGTTCAGCAACGTCAGATTTCTGCGAAGCGTCTGATTCACCAAGCTGGACTCCAGATGAACCAACTGAACCCAAAACAATGAGGCTGTTTGCTCCCATTCAGGCTGAATGGAACCGGATCCTGATTCATCAATGAATCAGAACCAGAAACTCCAAACACAAGATTTCATCCAGAAACATGAAACAAAAGATTCCTAAAGAAACAGGAAAGAAAGATCCAGAAACATCTTGATGAAACTTAAAGATCTCGACAGGTGGATCATGGCTGCTCAGGTCACTGTGGGGCGTTTAAAGGGCCAGAGTTACGGTTTCCATTTCATTGCCCAATACAGTAACTATGTCATAAAAATGCTGTTTATGTCCAACATGACTTAAACAACATTTCACTTCCTGATTAATGCCTTGAAATTGGGTCCCTGTCTCTTTAAGAACTCCTGCTAGTTCTGAAGCTCCGCCTCCAGGAAGTCATCCAACATGGCTCCGCTATTAACCCTTTAACGTTTCTGCCAGTGTTGCTCTGAGCAGCAGCTCAGCAGCTGTTTGCTAATTGCTGCTGGCTAGTCTGAAGGAGCTGGCAGGGGGTGGAGCTTTGGCTCGAAGGCGGGGCTATGTCCATGCAGGCGTTTAACAGCTGACTGGTTGCCATGGAGACAACACTTCAGACTCAACCTGAAGGTATTTCAAATATCCAAAAATGACAAAACAGAAAATAACGCCGCCATGAATAAAGTGAATGATAAAGTCTCTGTACACATTTCAATTGATCAATTTAGCAATTAAGTGATCGGTAATCACTAAATGAAAGAATTAACCTGCAACAATAAGAGCTCAGTTATCAGTGAGAAGACCTGGAATCAATAATGAACATGAAGTCAGACATGAACGGATCAGAACCAAATATCATCACAGGAAACCTTCCAGGAGACTCTCATGTTCAGAACCATAATCAATCAACATTGATTAGTTGATCAGAATTGATGATTCTGGTTTTCCGTTTACCGACCTACCGATCGATGGGCTAATTGATTGATTGATTGATTTTTCTAGTGTATTTTAGAGAAACGATGAAAAGAGAAGCAGACATGTTTGGTGAAATGACTGTTGGCTCTGCTGGAGCTCTGGACCAATCAGCCGCCATGTTGCCTGCAGCAGAATGGCTGCCGGTTCTCCATCAGGCAGCATTTCAGTGACGCAGCAGCAGCAGCTGGAGGTTTCTCCGCCAGGCTTGTTGATCTCCGTCTGCCCCTCCCTGCTGGCAGAACCGGAGGAGCAACTCTGCAGAGCGGCAACAACCTTCAAACGGACCGAGCGAGCCGCCGCCGGCTCTGATCCAACACACTTATTGGTCCAACCAGTGGGAAGCTAATTTCAGACATTAGGACTGTAAGCTAATGGTTTTAATGGTGTTTGTAGGAGTTCCTCCCACAGAAAGTCTGACATCAGAGATAAATAAAATGAGCCGCTGTGACTCCAGAGCGTGAAAACAGTTTGTGTCTGAAGCGGTTATGGATCACTGTCTCTGGAGCACAAGCTGCTCTCCTTGCTGGTTCTGGGCTGTTTTCCTCTGATAGCCTGCTGAGTCAGCATGTTGACTGCTCAGGGTTTCTGGGAACCGATGCTGTGGTCATGTGATCGTCCTCCCACCCTGCACTGATTCATTCTCAGGTGAGACACACCTGCAGCAGCTGGACAGCCGGAGCCGCCCAGGAACATCCAGCCCTCCGTTTCTGGAAACGGTTTTCAGAAAATGCCTCGGTCTCCAGACGCTGTTTGAAGTTTCAGCAACTTCAAACTGTTTCACAGTAAAAACGACATCAGGAAACCAGTTTGATCCAAACTATTCATCATTCACTTTGTGAATTGGCTAAAATTCACGACAAATGGATGAAAAGATGGATGCTGAGTTTCCTGGTCTTGATTTAAATGTGTGTTTAAATTTAAATGTGTGTTTAAATTTAAATGTGTGTTTAAGTTTCTGCTGATACATGAAACTGATTTGATCAGAAAATCATTTGCTGCCTCTTGTTCTGACTGGAAGTTCATCCCATCAGGCGATGTGTAAAAACTCTCACTTAGCATCTTATTGACGTGTTTATCCACTTTTCTGACAGAATAACTGCCTGCTGATATTAAACATTGGTCTGAAAACTGCAGTCAGCGCTGCGCTGATCATGTCAATGACACATTGTCTGGTTGTTTCTGTACGGAGCTTCATTTCATTTCAATTGTCCAGCTGGTGAAACACGTCGAGTCCTTTGTGCTGCAGCCGGATGAGCCGGACTCGTTTTCCTGTTTTTGTCAACAGTTCACGCAGCACAACGCAGAATATCTGAGGATTCTGCAGCACAAACGGCTCAGATGCTGCAGAGTCCAGACCTGATGCTGCAGAGTCCAGACCTGATGCTGCAGAGTCCAGACCTGATGCTGCATTTGAAAATAGGAAAACTCTCTTCACCTGCTGCGTCAGGATCAAAGATCAGCTCAGAACGACTTCCGCAGCGACTGCTCTCCACCGCAGGATTAGCATCTGAGGGCGTTCAGCTTCTATGCACCGTAAATCTGGAACAAACTTCCAGAAAACTGCTAAACAGCCGGAACACTGAGATCCTTTAAATCGAGGCTGAACTGGTGAGAGCTGCTTTCGATTAATAATCACTGGAAGATTGATTTTGATGATGTAATGTTTGCTTTTAGGACAAAATAATCAATAAATCAATAATGCTCAATAATTTCCATTTGTTGTTTTTCTACCAGAAACTGGGTGAAAAACGTCTTCAGTCTGAACTAAACCTTGTTTCCAGACTCATAATTCGGTTTTTCTTCGTTGGATATTAAAATGTCTTCTGGTTTAAATGTTCATTAGAATTGATCGTTTATCCATCTTGCTGTTATATTACTGGAAACGATTTCAATATTATCAATATTATTGTTTTGGAGAAACTTTTATCGTTATCGGCCGATTTGATCAATTTGTATCTTGTTTTTATGTCTTGTTGTTGAAAGGTGTTACATAAATAAACTTGATTGTTTGATTGATCGACTGATTGATTGATCAACTGATTGATTGATCGACTGATTGATTGCAGCTTTTGCCATCAGTAGGGATTACATTATGAACATGCTGTATTAATGTTGCAGTCAGTCGTCGTTTCTAAACGATCCTGAAGCAGAAAAACAGACGGAAACAAAACAAACCAACATGAAGCATCCAGAGTTTCCCTGAACGGTTCCTCAGCACAAACGCAGCATCTGCTGGCAGCATCACGGCTCTGGGATCCTGACCATGTTTTTATGAGTCAGAACGAGCCCCGGTCCGTCACCGTGACGAATCTGATCACATTCAGGTTCTGTTGGTTCCAACAGAAAACGGGTCGCAGCCAGTCTGAGCCGGACTAACATTTATCCACTTTGAACGTAAAGCTGGTGCAAACACATAAAGTATGAAGAGGAGGAAGAAGACGCCAGATAGAAATTTAGCAAATTATTAACTTCAAACATTTAAAAAACACTTGCACTAGTTTTCTCTTTCTGGGACACTTGTCCTCTAATTCTGTTCTTTGTAACTGTCTTTATGTGTTTCTGAAGGTTCAGGTCAGAGTTCATCACTTTTCACCAACACGTTAAAACTTTTAGAAGTATTGAGGTTAACTGGCATCTGAAAATGATCCGTTCTCTTCTAACTCGGATGTTTCTACATTTTGAGCTGATTCTGTGACCCCATGGCTGCCAGCGGTCTGTCTTCCCGTTTCCTGCCTGCAGGCGCTGAAGCCACCAGGTGTTTGTTTCTCACAAACCAACAGAGCTGCTCAGTCAGAAGAACTTCTGAAAAACACCCAGCTCCAATGAAACCCAGTTTATAACGTCTGCCCAGTACATCTTACTGGTCCCGACCCAGTAAACGGCTCTGGTTCTCTTACCTGCTCAGGTGAGACGCGGGTCGGTGAAACGAGCAGAAACTCCGAGTTTCATCTGATGGGTGGAGGCTCAAGGAGGGACCACAAGCTCCGCCCACTGCAACGCCTCCTCCGGATGCGTCAGGTTAGCCACGCCCCCAACCCGCTCTGCGCGGTGATGCGTTCAATGCTTCAAAAAACAACAACTTTCCAGTGACTTGCTGAGGTCATTTGTTGACGTTTGATTTGCAGTAAATTTGAATGTAAAAGTTGCTGCAAACACAAGAACATGACCTGACATCCAGTGGACGAGGAAGATGTAATATTTCCACTGCCAGATAGGATTTTACCACATTTATAGTTTTAATAATATTTACAGAAATTATTAAAAAATCAAGTCAAGTATCTCAATTGGATCTTCTGAAATTTATGAACATTTAAGAGTTCAGCTACTTCATTAAATGCAGAAAATACTTAAATATATTTTAAAAATTATATATGTTAAACATTTATTACTAAAATGCCATTGAATTGTTTTTATTTAAAGAATGAAGTTGAAAATAAACATAGTAAAACAGATCTGAAAAAAGTAAGGTATATAAATAAAATAAATGTTAATGGAGGAAATATTTAAAATTAAATGTTTCCGCATTAATTAAAAATGCAATAAATTAAACAAACACAGCATGTAAAATAAACAATACAAATTATTTATATACAGAAAATAAATAAGAAATAAAAAAATAAAATATAAATGAAGTAAATATTTAAAATCAGATGTTTTTAAAATATGATAAATTAAACAAACACATGTAAAAATGGTTTATTAAGTAAGAGTATTTGCATAATTTATGGCACCAGAACAATGTGTAGTTTCGGTTGCAGGAGTTTTTACTCCCCTCTACTGGACGGAACTGAACACTGCATGTCCTTATATGGTCACCCAGCGACATCCAGAGGGCCCCGCCTTCTCCCGCTGGCTGTGGCCGGGGGAAGCTTGAGGGAATCGGGATGCAGTCAGCCCAAAGTGTCGGTCGGACACCAGAACTGGGACTGAACGGTCCACCTCGGAGATTATGATCGGAACCTCGGGCTTCAGGTGAACCGGGCCGACATGGACTAAGCGGAGCGGGGAGCGAGTCCCGGTCCAGTCCAGGGTGAGTGTCCGGAGGCTTTGGTGCAACTTTCAGAGGAGGAAACTTGTTAGCTGCGCTGCTAACTCCGCGCAGCAGCTAAACTGGTCCGGAACTAGTCCGGAACCAGTAAACTGGTTCGAAACCAGTCCGGAACCGGTCCGAAACTAGTCCGGGACCAGTAAACCGGTCCGAAACTGGTCCGCAACCAGTCCGAAACTGGTCCGGGACCAGTCCGAAACCGGTCCGGGACCAGTCCGAAACCGGTCCGGGACCAGTCCGAAACCGGTCCGGGACCAGTCCGAAACCGGTCCGGGACCAGTCCGAAACCGGTCCGGGACCAGTCCGGAACTGGAGTGGCTTCTCCGGGTCGGGGGGATGTCCTGCTCCAAGTGGAGGAGTTCCAGGATCTCTGGGTTCAGAAGGGATCAGGAGATCGACAGGCGGATTGGAGCGTCTGCAGTGAACTGGACCGGTCCGTCATGGTGAAGAGAGCTGAGCCAGAAAGTGAAGCTCTCGATTTATGGTCGATCTACGTTCCCACCCTCATCTATGGTCAAGAGCTTCGGGTCACGACCGAAAGAACGAGATCTGGGATACAAGCGGCCGAAATGGGTTTCCTCCGTAGGGAGCTGGGCTCTTCCTTAGAGAGAAGCTCAGACATCCTGGAGGGATCAGACTAGAGCTGCTGCTCCTCCACATGGAGAGAGCCAGTTGAGGCTCAGCATCTGGTCAGGATGGAGGCTTCCTGTCAGGAGTTCAGGTCCCACCGGGAGGAGAGGAAGACCAGGAGACGCTGGAGGGACGATGTCTCCCTGCTGGCCTGGAACGCCGTGGGATTCCCCCGGAGGAGCTGGAAGAAGAGGCTGGGAGAGGGAAGCCTGGGCCTCCAGTCTGAAGCTGCTGACCCCGCGACCCGACCCGGATAAACGGCAGACGATGGATGGATGTTTAAAAATAGAGAAAATCTCTTTATTCTTTTATGACAGACTAAATAACACGGATTATTAGTTTTTGACTGTAACTTTACAAATGGCGACTTTCAAACTTATCTCATGTTTTATTAATAATCTCTGATTTCTGATGTCTTATGCTCAGTTTTGTGAGCTTTAAATCATCTGTTGAAGCAGAAAGTCTGGAGACATTTTTCTGTCTTCAGGTGAGAACAGCACTGAAAGCTAACAGGAAGGCCGGCGATTCTTCATCTCACCGGAGCTCTCCTTCCTTCGAACATGTTTTTTTTCATTTGTTTATAAACTCAAATTTAAACAGTTTTAAAATAAATCCTTAATATTTAGTTAGCAAACTAAACCTTTAGCTCCAAGCTAAGTATTTCATTAGCGTGCTGAAGGTCCCAACAGGACTGTGGATAATCTTGTCATTCTTGTATTCTGCAGATCCTGCAGGAGTTTTATTCCTTTGAAACTATTTACCGATCAGATTCAGAACCAGCAGGTCAGAGCTGAAGCAAACCAGGCTGAAGCTAAAGCTAAAGCTGAAGCTGAAGCTAAAGCTAAAGCTGAAGCTGAAGCTAAAGCTAAAGCTGAAGCTAAAGCTGAAGCTAGCATCATGTTTGGTTGAGTGGGTGGTCAGCAGTTTGCTCAGCTGTTTCAGTCCTGATCCGCTGCAGCCGTTGGGGAGGAAATGATCTGCAGGCCTTGCAGATCCTTGGCGGATCTCTGAATTATTAATCGGTGACATGGTTTCCATTCGGAGGAAACCTGGAACCTGAGCCGTTTCTCTGTGACCTTCAACCTGGAAATAAATGATCTGAACTCAGTTCAACCTCAGATAAACTGGTAAACATTGTTTTAGCAAAACCTCTTTATAAACTCAGGATGAAGATACTTGGTGTATTTAATGTTTTATGATTCATTTTATAGTTTTGTACATTTTTCTATTTCAAAGAATTTGGAGAAATTTTATCATATAAAGATGGAATTCAAACAGACGTAACGATTTCAAACGGAAAAAGTTTATGTAAATGTTCTGGGACCTGAAAGTCCATCAGTGACATTTAAGGTCAAAGGTCAGATCTGAGGTGTTGATGGGAACTGATGGATGAAACCTTTGGTTCCTGCAGGCGGCGTCATGGCGGCACGCTTTCTGGACCGCCTGAAGCGCTCTCTGTTCAAGACCGGCCCGGGCGCCGACCCGGACCGGGAGGACGGCGACCCGGAGAGCGAGGGGCGGGGCTTCAGCGAGGAGCAGTGGGAGGCGGAGCTGGAGGAAGAGGAGGAGTGCGTGACGGAGCGTCTCCGGGGAACGCTGTGCTTCGATGACGGAGAGCTCGGCGGCGAGGACGGCGGCGAGGCGATAGACAGCGACTCGGACTTCCTGGGCGAGTCGCTGGAGGACGGACTGAGCAGCACAGGTCGCCGACGCGTCGGGACGTTTTCTGAGAACCGACGGTCCTGGTGGGATTAGCCCGGTCAGGGCGTCATTTCCTGTTTGTTGTTTCTCACAGATGCCAGTCCGGTGGGCGTGTCCCCCATTGGCCCCGCCTCCTCCACCCTGCTGACCGGCAGCTCCAGGACGGCTGGCGGACCCTGCGCGGACTCGGCGGGTCGAGTCCCGGCCACGGCGTGAGACGGCCGGCAGACGGGCTGCTGTTCGAGGTGACGGACGCCAGCGTGGTTCAGGACGGCGCCGCCAAGTATGTGGTGAGTTCTTCCTCCGAGTGCCGACCCGATGACCTGACCCGATGACCCGACCAGATGACCCGACCCGATGACCCGACCGATGACCTGACCCGATGACCTGACCCGATGACCCGACCAGATGACCCGACCCGATGACCCGACCCGATGACCCGACCCGATGACCCGACCCGATGACCCGACCCGATGACCCGACCCAATGACCCGACCCGATACGTCACACAACGTATCACCAACCGACCCGACTGACCCGGTTCTGTCCCGCAGCTCTACGCCATCCATGTCATCCAGTCCGGCGGCAGCGACAAGATGCCCGCCGTCATCACCCGCCGCTACTCCGACTTCCAGCGGCTCCACGCCACTCTGAGGCGTAACTACGGCAACCAGATGGAGCGCGTCTCGTTTCCCCGTAAGGCGCCGCGTCGTCCTGCGACAGGAAGCGCTTTGGGTTTGAGCTCTGACGTCTCTACGTTGGCAGGAAAGAAGCTGCGCAGGAACTTCACGGCGGAAACCATCGCTAAGCGGAGCCGGGCATTCGAGCAGTACCTCTCTCACCTGTGTTCGCTGCCCGACCTGCGGGGGGCGCCGAGTGTGCGGCAGTTCTTCTACCTGAGCGACCTGCAGGCCGGCCAACTGCTCATCAGGTGAGAACGCCGCCTCAGACAAGAAGCTCCCATGATGCATCACTTCTTAGAACAACATGCTTCATCTGAGGAATTTATAAAAGAATAAAAACACACAATAAGAATACTGCATGCTGTCGCCATCTTTATCCTGCAATGCATCTTGGGTAGATGATGCATTCTAGATGCTACGAAGCTAGCACCGTCTAACCAGAACAGGAATTTCTACATATCAATTATCATTCAGGTGTCAACTCCTGCTAAAGGTGTTAGCTCCTGCTAAAGGTGTTAGCTCCTGCTAACGGTGTTAGCTCCTGCTAAAGGTGTCAGCTCCTGCTAACAGTGTTAGCTCCTGCTAATGGTGTCAGCTCCTGCTAATGGTGTTAGCTCCTGCTAAAGGTGTCAGCTCCTGCTAATGGTGTCAGCTCCTGCTAATGGTGTTAGCTCCTGCTAAAGGTGTCAGCTCCTGCTAATGGTGTCAGCTCCTGCTAATGGTGTTAGCTCCTGCTAAAGGTGTCAGCTCCTGCTAATGGTGTCAGCTCCTGCTAACGGTGTTAGCTCCTGCTAAAGGTGTTAACTCCTGCTAATGGTGTTAACTCCTGCTAATGGTGTTAGCTCGATTGGGCTATGTAAATGATTTATAGAATATTAATAAACTGGGTAAATAAAACCTGACGACCTCCGAAGATGAAAATATGACAACAGTTTTGTCATAAATGTGATTTCTTTAACAGTTTTAGGGAAATCCAGCATTTTGATGCTAACGTGTTGAGCTAGCAGTGGACTCCTTAAAGCTAACAGCAGCAGAGAACAACTCATGATGAACCTGTCGAAACTAAATCAGGATCTGGATCCTGGTTCTCCAGGTTTTTCCAGACTTTTCCAGGTTTTCCAGGGTAAGTTGATGTTTTCTTCTTGTTCAGAGCTGAACGTTTCCAGGAGGCTCTGGGTCCGCTGCTCAACGCCAAGAGACTCCAACACAAGCTGGGCTGGGCCAGTTACCATGACGATGAGACACAGGCCCCGCCCCCAGCCTCCTCCCATTGGTTCTTCACCCTGGTGGGGCTGGCTTGTTGTTTCCAGGAGGTGGAGCAGCTGGAGGAGGCTCTGGAGCACTGTGACCACGCCCTCTGCATGCTCCTGCCCCTCCCACTGCAGGACAAACCCTCCCCTTCCAGCTGGACGCAGCGCTGCAGTCGCTGGCGCTGCCGCTGCTGCAGGCGGTGATCCGTCTGTCGTGGCAAACAGGAAGAGACAAGCAGCGGTGGGAGGAGCATCTGCAGGAGCTGGAGGGGGCGGGGCCAGATGACCATGTGACCATCGGGGACTTCCTGGTCAAACACAAACTGCAGGAGAGCGATGGCGATGGCTGAGGTGGCGCGCAGCAGGAAGCAGAGAGTCCTGCTTCCTGCTGCGGGCATCAAGTAGAAAAAGCAATAAATGAGAAGAGTTTTTGGTTTTGGATGGAAATTAAATGTAATCTGAGCCGCCGCCCTGATTAGATCCAGGTTAGAGGTCGGCTTGACTGCTGCCGACAGAAGCAACGCCGCAGTTTCTCCTTCTCGGAAACGACCTGAAACCTCCTCAGAGTTTCACATCCGCTTTCAGCCAGACCACCTGACTGATCAGACTGAAAGCAGTTTAACAGCTGCAGGGCCTGCGGCGGCGCCCGCTGCAGCAGGGCCTGAGGCGGCGCCCGCTGCAGCAGGGCCTGAGGCGGCGCCCGCTGCAGCAGGGCCTGAGGCGGCGCCCGCTGCAGCAGGGCCTGAGGCGGCGCCCCCTGCAGGCACAGACCTGGCTGCAGTTGCCACGGAGACCCCGAGTGATGACGAGATGGTGGATAGATGTGAGCTTTGATTTGCATCAGCAGCTAATGTGACAATCTGACGGCTGATTAGTGAACAAAGGATTAAAGAAGGAACAAAGTTCACAGCATCATTCGTTGAATTTAAGTCCATGAATCATAACACAGCAGTATTATGACTCCATAAAGCTCCACATTTCAGTGGCACATTTTCAATCAAAAACTAGATCAGAAAAATACGGAAAATAGATGTAACTATAGTCACTGAAGCAATTATTTCTGTCTGCATGCAGTTCCAGGTTGGGGTCAGCAGAGGGCAGAGTTTCAGACTGACTGGAGACTTTAACCTGAACTTCCTGCTCTTTGGGACTTTGAATAAGTTCAGGTGAATTTTCCGTTAAGTTTCATCATTTTCAGTTTGATGTTTTTTCAGGTCATTTTCTACATGTCATTTCGATTCGTTACTGATAATCTAAAAAACCTCGAAGAAGGGAATTTATTGTCATTTCTTGTGTCCAGATTTATCACCAGTTTGCCTTTAATATTAGTTTCCGTTGTTTTTCTGTTAATTTGTGTTTCAGATGATTTTTCTGGTTTGTGGTTTGGAATGGCAGCAAAAAGCATTTTTGGTCAAAATGAAGTTTAAAAATAATAATTTTCTTTCAGAGGCTGAATATAAAGTAACAACAACATAACCTAGTGATGCAATTAATATTTTTCTGCTGGAAACGTCTGCTGGTTTCCACAGCAGGCAGCCTCCAGGGCGCGATAGAGAGTTTAGTTTCGTAGAAGCTTGTCTGGTTGGATTGAAATCAAACTGAACTTTTCGCCTGAAACCTAAAAACCAAACTCTTTTAAAGGAGGAACAAAGTTCATGTCTCTGTTTGTCAGGGAGCGTAAACACAGACGGACCTTCCTGTGGAGTTTGATTTAAAAGATTTATCCAAATATGTTTTTATGGAATAAAACTTTTAATTATTATTGTAATTGTTTTTTGTTATTTCTCTTTTTACTTTTTGTACAAAAACAAAAGTTTAAAGATTTCTATTCTGGCTCTAGGTCTGTGGCCGTGACTCGTTACACTCTATTAATCACATAGATTTTAATGTGTTAAAATTATTAATGCAATTTATTATTTAGTTTCCTTTTAACATAAATTATCCAGAGCTGTTTGTGTTGCAGCTAAAGCCATAAACCTGTTAGCTGCATCTGCTAACATGGATCAAGGATGAAGCTGCTTCTGAACCATGTGATTGGATGCTGGACAAGACTGTGGTTGTGTTTAAGTTGTGCTAAAAGGAGCTAAAGGCTAAAACAGCATCTCCATGCTAAACATGTAGCAGCTAATGCTAATGCCAGCACCTGCAGGTGTGTTGACCAGAGAAGCTCTGGACAGATGAACAGATAGAAAAACACTTTGCTGCAATCTGAGGGTTCATGAACCTGAAGGTCAGATTCAAAATATAAATGTATTTGTTGCATATAGATATCTATTTATTCAATAATTAGCAGCAAAAGGGTCTTTGGGTTGAAAATTTTCTTATTTTTTCAATAACTGATATGGTTTTTGATTAAAATGTGTTAATTGCAGACCCTTAATTAACTCATTTCCAGATTCCAACTGATAATCATAACAGCAAATTAAAGGTAATCAGACTGGGTGGTAAAGGCAAATTTACAACATAAGTCAGAATTTTGAGCATAAAAGTCATAAATCTGAGATAATACATTATAATTTCAACTTTGTCAGTCATAATTATGAGACATAAAGTTAAAACCTAATCTGATGACTTCCTGTTGATCGACTTCAGTAGTTTCTGATGAAGTCAGTAGCTTAATGTTTCACATTAAATAAGATTTTTCTGGAGATCAACTTCCCTGTCGGAACAGCCGCGGCTGTAATCCCAGGCTCTGGCCAGCAGAGGGCGCCCTGCTCCAGCAGGTTTCCCCCTCTGGACTGTCTGCCGGGTCCGGAAGGTCCGGAAGGTTCGGATCGGTCCGGTTCGGTCCGGCTGGTTCGGATGTTCAGATGACGGCTGTTTTCTGTCAATGAGCGGCTCGGAGGCGCATCTCCATGGTGACAAGGCCAAGAGCTGCGAGACTGGCTGCCACGGAAACGCTCGTTGTCATGGCAACGGTCACGGTTCACAGCAGCAGGACCAGTCGCTGTTGCCATAGCAACCCTCTGATGCAAGCGGCTTCAACACAAAAATAAAGCAGACACGTTTGGTCACATCAGCATTTCAGGCATTAAAATGTTTATTTTCCTGTTAAAAAGGAATTTATTTCTAATTATGTAAAAAAATAACTGAAAAGGTTTTAAAAGTCATTGAGACTGAAAGTTCATTATAAAACTTTATTGAGATGCTGAATTTCGACAGAATCCAGACTCACAGTAAGCAGTTTTGACGTCACAGACTCCTGTGATGTCATTTCCTCCAAACTTCTCCAACCAGTTTTCCACCACTGAGGTCACAAAGATCACGGTTCAGTTTCACAGTGAGGTACACGCAAATCACAAACCCAAGAACAGAGCTGGGTGAGTCACAGCAGCCGCCATATTTCATCATGTCCGTCCTGATGACGTGGTGGTTAGGGGCGGGGCTAGGGGTGGGGTTAAGGGATGGGGTGAGTTTTGGGGGGTTAAGGGATGGGGTGAGTTTTGGGGGGGGTTAAGGGATGGGGTGAGTTTTGGGGGGGTTAAGGGATGGGGTGAGTTTTGGGGGGGTTAAGGGATGGGGTGAGTTTTGGGGGGGGTTAGATGGGGAGGCAGGCGGACGGAGCGCGGGAAGCTTCAATACAGGTAGGTGAAGTTTATCAGAGTGGACCAGAACCAGAATTAAATCAACAGCCAGGACCAGAAGAACAATTCACTTTCTTTATGAGCTAAAAATATTTTAATTTATAAATTTACTTATAAAGAAAACTTGAAGATAAAAGATAAAAGTGTTTCAGATTTGGGCTGGTTGTACTCCAGCAAGCCTTCATGCTATGCTAAGCTAAGCAAAACCAAATTAAATTAAACTAAACTGAGTTAAGCTAAGCTAAGCACAAACATAAAGTGTAGCTACTTATATGAAGTTGGCACGACCTGAAATTAACAGACAATCACATTTATTTAACAGAATTAAAATGTTTCCCTTTTTCAGAATCTCTTTGGTGTAGCAGGAGTTTTTGGGTTGCTGGACCTCAGGCTCTGCTAACTACATCAAGACCAACCTAACATGTTTAGCTGCAAATTAAAAAACTCTCAAGACTTTCTCATTACTGTGCTTGGTGACCATGCTAACTAGCATGCTAACTAACATGCTAACTATCATGCTGTTAACAATTAGAATGCAAGTCTGTCCATTGTTTTCGTACACACAGAGGTGGGACTGCAGGTGCATCAGGTTAAAATGTTATCACTACCACTGACAGAAGTCCAAATAAATAGCTCATTTTTGCAGCCATCAAAAGTTTTTACATGGCAGGCAGCCATATTGGATTTTGGAATTGAGATTTCAGCTGATTTTTCCAACATTGGAACAGTGTGAGAAATGTGTGTGAATAAGAGGGGATCTTCAGCCATTTTCTTTTTGTTGTTTTCCAGGTCATAATTTGACCGTTTCATCTTGAAGAGGGTCTAATTATATTTTGGGGCCACTAGAGCTCTGTGGAACCAAGGCAGGTTTGCCAAAGCAGCAGAGGCTCCGATGTGTGGGTTCAAAGGTTGTAGCCAACAAAAGTTGACTTCTTTAAGGGTTAGCTGGCTCTGGTAGATGTGATTTAGGAATGACCTGAGATCAAAATATGGCAGACAAATTTAAGGCAAACTCTCACCAGGACCGCCACAGGATGCTGCGTCACACATCGTTTCTTTCCAGTTCACAGACAAAGGGTAGGATATAGTGAAGTGCTGAGATCAAACTGGTCTTGAAGGTCGTTCGTTCAGAGACGATGAAGCTTCAGCTGGATCTAAACTGATAAGGTCACACACACCACCTGTTTGTTTCTCCTTTAAAACTAGAGATGCCTGACAAACTTAAGCGAAATGCTTACGACAATCAATCCCAGCTTGATTTCTGAAAGCTGGCCCGTGTGATTAGACCTGCTTGATTGGTGATTTCTGGACCCTACAGGCAGCGGGAAACGGTGTTGTCTGTTTGTCTGAATGATAGATCTGGTTAGTGAAAGAATCAGTTGTTTTGGGTACCTGGGGTCTCTCTGGGTTTCTCAGAAAGCCCCCACTGGTCCAGTTGGGCCCACTGTGACCCTTGCGGCCGGCAGTCTGTCCCTTTGTAGACCGTTTCCTTTTCCTCTCTACTGTTTGCTGGTCCCTGGCATGGATGGATGCAACTATCTGTGCTTCACAACATGGTTGAACTTGACATGATTTAAGGTCTGAGAAAATCCCAAAGGACTTGTGACACTTCAGTGGATCGTTGACATGTTTGCTAATTAGGAGCAGTGCTAATGTGGTTTATGCTAACATCTATGTACAGACCAGCAGAAGGCAAAATAAAGCATAAAATATATAAAACTAATATGATTATAAAATATACTCCTACATTATACAGTGACTGATTGTCCAGGTATCAGATCTACACAATATCTTTGGCTAAACACTACAGACAGTATCAAACTTTGCACCCTCCTTCTTGCAACGGCATACACACCAACACACACAGATTAGAAAAACAAATCCTGACATCTATTATTGTTTACAACTTTTAGACAATAAATCTCAGATTTCATAAACTCAGTCTTTAAAATATGAAAATAAATAGACATTTGCTCATATTTAACAAATTGCATTGAACAGTTACATCATAACGTTGAACTCTGACAGAGATCTCTCTACAAACGTCTTCTGTAGTCGTGTGGGCTTCCAGCAGCCCTTCACTGCAGATGAAACAACATCAGTATTTTCCATTCACAGTAGTGAGATGCTCCGGTTCTCCTCATCTCCTGACTGATCCACTCAGATCTCAAACTACCTGAATGTCATCTCTGATAGTCTGACAGGCTGGATAAGAGGCTCAATTTGTCAGTTAAAGGATGAAAAGTGCCAGTTTGCTTGAATCTGCTGCTGACATCTCATTTAAAACTAAGTGGTGATGTGAATAGATTTCTGATTGTGTGCTGTCACCACTTCAGTTGCCGGCAGAGTGGTTTTATGAATGTTGGGAAGTGGAACTAACACAAAACAGAGCTCCAATAAAGAGTGAAGTATTCATGCAGTCTTCACTTCTTGCATTTGCTTTCAAGGAGCCGAGGATCCTTTAAACAAGTGGATTTCGTCGAGCTTTTCTTAAGGTTTCTACTCTTTGGTTTTTGAGGAGTTACTGCATCTATCACCGCCACCAGGAGGCAGTGGAGTCAACATCACAAACAGTAGGACAGTGTCATCAGGCAGTAACCTCAGCATCCAACAGTCACCAGGAACACTGAGGAGGTCAGCAGACCCAGAGGAGACGTCCAAGGGCTCCGGTACCTGCCCAGAGTGTTGAATGTACAAAAGTCGCAGTGGCCCAGAATTAGTGTCCATCTGGAACACATCAAGAAGGTCCCACTCTCCAAAGACATGACACACCAAGGATCAAGCATCACAGAACCCTGTGACATCTGGACAGGGCCTGGACTCTTTCCAGGAGTTTAAATGACATCTAGCACCATGACAGGTATCAGCTGGTTGCTGATTCAACACCCTGTGCATGGCCTGATGATGGCAGTCACAGCTTTAAATGGTGTTTCATGTTCCATGGCGACTCTCGGCTCTGCTTTACCACAGATGACCACCACAGGGGAGACCCAGATAGTTTAGAGGACAGTTGACTGAACCTGACATACTCTTGGAGAGACACAGCGGCGTTTCTCCTGATGCCACGCTTTGCCACGGCTATCCCATATTTCATCCAAAGCCAAAGAGTTGACAATGATCGCATGTGACATTTGTATTTTCTTTCAATCATGTCACAGACTGCCTGGAGAGACCTCTCTCCCTT